GAACCGTGCAAAAAACGCATCTTCGCACGGGCAGCCCGTGCGTTGGCCAATTATTTCCTATCCCATTAAGCACGGCAACCCGTCAGACTGATGAGGTCCAGTCGCGGTGTTGAGTTAAGACGTATATAATTTAATGGGCCTAAACTCTTCTCTCATTGGGACGTTCTTTTTTCACACTGTTTTTTTTTTTCTGTATTCTGTTGAGCATTTGCCATTTGGACTTTCGTTGTCCTAAAATAGTCCTGCTACAATCGGTTTAGCAGAATCCCGTGGACTACTCAGTGTGCCCTCAATTTCATTACTGTCTTCCCTCTACATGCCGAATTCAGTTACGCCAAGTCCCCTTCTCCAGCTGCTTGCATCAGTACCGTCCTCTCTAATATGTTTCTCAAAGTCTCCTTGTGACAGTTTAGAGCCTTTCTTGTGGATATTACTTAGAGGTTTTCGACATCCACCGGTTATCAGCTCAATGCATTGCTCTTCCTTTCGGAACTGCAAGGATAACCTTTGTCCTGTTTATCTACTGGGTAAGGTACAGTCAGTGTTCCTGGTTTGACAATGTAAAGTTGTCAGTATATCTGTGATATGGTCACACACTGGGACCCTGTGAGGCTAAACTAAGCTGCTAAACCGAGTTGCTGTCCATAGATTCGCAGGTATTACCTTAACTGCACCTTATTAGTCGGAAGTCAAAAGTCTTTCGTAACTGCCGCTTGTGAGGGGTGAAGTCCCGAGGGGTAGCAAATGTTTTGACAAGGCTGTGTACGTCCCCCTCTTTGAAGGATTGCTTACGAGTGGGCTAAAGGCGGGTTTGATCCCGTGCCACCAGAGCGGCTGTACTGATTGCTGAGAAATTGATTGTCCTAGCGACGGAATCGAGAACAGTGCTACTGCTGCGTCAGTGCACCAGCAGTTTGTGCCTTATGGATATCAAAAAAAAAACAAGAATTCCTTTCCAGCGCTTAAGCGAAACCTCGATATCAGCACAGAGCGCAAAAATGAGCACAAACGATGGCGCACGGCAATTGATGACTATGCGCAGTACTCAGAATGGATCAGTAAAGTTAGCGAGAAAGTGGAGGATATGCCGGATTTGGTCGCTTCTGAAAGCGTCACCACTGAAGGCTCTGACGATCCGGAAGCGGAGTACTTTTACACCATCAGTTCCATGAAGAATTTAATCGCTGAAGTAAATATTTCTTTTATATGGAATTACTGAAAAATAATTAACACGCAGGACTTTACGCGAACAGTAACATTTATGCAAATTATTGTACCCATTTTACACACATATATAAACAATGTAGATAAACATACATGCATACATAAAAACTTACATACTTACATACACATGAGTAAATATGCATAGGTACAAGCATGCATACGTGCACACATTTATACACGTACGCATGAAGAAGCGGAAGTTCTGATTTTTTTTTCTTTTTTGCAAGGCAAAATAATATGGATGCTTATATGAAAATTTTATCAATTTTTTACGGTTTAGATTGAAAGATCGCATGCAAAGCAGTCCGAAGAAACAGCCAAAAGTGATGCCAAATTGGAGGAGATAATAAAAGATTTTGAAGAACGGTCGAAACGAAACCACTTCGCCAAAAAGCCTGCTCAGGTGATTTAAATTTTTTTTTGAAGTTTTTAAATTTCTCACCACTCCCCTTCGCTTTTGTCGCCTAGCAATAGAAAGGACAGTTAGCGCGAGGCTTTTGGTATTGCTAAGTTTCAAGTGCCCCTCAGGCGTGGATTTTGCCTACTGAACTGTTGGATGTCTGCACCTATTACTTACTATTTTTGCTAAGTACGCACACCACTCCTTCAGCGCTCATCCAGAGATAAAGCAAAACAAGTGTGTGTGTATGTATGTGTGTGTGTGCGTCTGCGTGTGTGTGTGTGCGTATGTGCGTATATGTGTA